ATACATCAGACATGGCAGGTCAGTCAAAGTTTTTCTTTATCTGTAGTGGACTAGTGTATCACTATACTTTTAAATAATCACTTTGAGGAACAGGTGCAGTGTACCATTATACATGTAGCCTGGTGGAATTCAGTCTTCAGAAATTTGGTTAATTATGACACTTGTTGGTGTCAAGCCATGCCTTTCCTTGATTGGACAAAAATACTTTGAAGTTCTTTGACTAATGGGTGTTTTCACAAGGATTTGTCAACTTAAAGTATGTCTTCTTTGCGTTACTTCAAGTAATTAATGTGTAGATCCAGTCAATTTTTAAAAATGTCTAGTTTCCCGTAAGGTTCTAAAATGTTGACCTTCATAAACTGAACAGGCCTTGAAGTGCCCAGGCTCAAAATAATCATATACATTGTATTCTCCCCGCTTATTGCAATACTTTGGGGTGAGTTTTGAAAATTTTTGTACAATATTTCCTAGTTGCCGATTTTCTTTATTCTCATCACTCATCTGCTTGATAAAGTATTGAAATTGTAAGGAGAAAATAATTGACAACTGACAGATGGCTCCTAAATTTTACTGACAAATCACGCTTTGATCTTAACATCATTACTGACAACTGACAGATTATTCCAAATTTTAAATGATAATTCATGGTTTTTCATTCCAATATCTATCTTGACAACTGATACAAACGTAGATGATTCCGAATTTTTTAACTGGCAAAATCAAGCTTTGATCTCAGCATCCATACTGAAAACTGATAGATAGTTCCAAATTTTGACTCACAAACAATGTTTTGATCTCAGCATTCATACTGAGAACTGATAGATGATTCCAAATTTTAACGGGTGTCTGGAAAACCCAAATAGCGAAAAGTCATGAATAGCAAATAGTATGAATAGGGCGAATACATGTAGTCTCAAATAGTGCAAATAGTGGCGAACAGTAGCGAATAGTGATGAATAGTCGTCAGTAGTCGCCTCTTTAGTTCAGCACTGATCTGGATTTGTTGAAGTTGATTACGTGGGGCAAGAGCGTTTATCTGCAGATGCTGATACAGATACTATTTACTATTCGGGACTTATTCGCTAGCCATTCACAACTATTCGCTATTTGCTATTCAGGTTTTCCAGACACCCAATTTTAACTGAGAAAATCATTTTTTGATCTGAACGTCCTTACTGACAACTGACTGATGATTTCAAATTTTAATTGACAAAATCATGTTTTGATCTCAACATCCTTACTGACAACTGATATACAAGTATGATTCCAGATTTTAACTGAGAATATCTTGTTTGGATCTCCAACTCCCTCTTGACAAGTGATAGATGATTCCAAATTTTAACTGAGAAAATCATGTTTTGATTTCAACATCCTTACTGACAACGGATCGATGATTCCAAATTTTAACTGAGAAAATCATGTTTTGATCTCAACGTCCTTACTAATTAACAATTAGATTATAAGCTCAAGATTTCGCGTGATAGTTGACGAGGGCACAGCCGGAATCCTTTATCACGCAGTGGAAATCAAGAGCAAATAATCTAATTATTCTAGTATATACTTATAAATCTACTAGTCGTTTAAAACTTTATCTTAATCCTTTTCACATACACTTCGAAAACACCAAGAAAGGGCGGTCATTTTGTTAACAAGGACACACTGCTACGCTACGCTCTATCTATCACAGAATAGATAGTGAATAGCGTAGCCAATCAGAGAACGGCATTTGTGATAGAACACTAGTAGATTTATACTAATGACTGATAGATGATTCCACATTTTAACTGAGAAAATCATGTTTTGATCTCTATGTCCTTACTGACAACTGCCTAATTGTTCCAAACTGAGAGAATCATGTTTTGATCTCAATGTCCTTACTGACAACCGACTGATTGTACCAAATTTTAACTGAAAAAATCATGTTTTTATCTCAATATCCTTACCAACAACTGAC